ATGCAGGATTCAGCCAGGCAGCTCCTAGCCTGCTGAGAATGCATTGGTGCAAGCATGTCCTATCCTGTTTTGAAAAAGATGGTATGATTTTGTGTTTTCCCCATGTATGTGAACTGACTTTATATATCAGTTCTTGCCTGTCCCTTGGGGCATCTTTCTTATTGGTAAGTGGCATCTAAAACAAAAAAAAGTATTTTGTTAAATTCAGTCTGGTGGATTTTATTTTGCGTCAAGGAAAAAGATGAGCCTCTTCATCATTGTTTCTTGTGATGTTTTTATGTCATCTCTGTTTATGAACTATTCAATTAAATTGTTGCTGGCAAAAAGTATAATGTTACTGTAGAATTAATAAAAGGCTTTTGAATTGGTGCCACATGACAGTCTTATAAGAAAACTGGAGAAATGTGGGATAGATAGAATTACTGGTAAGTGGATACATACTTGGCTTAATAACTACAGGCAGAGAGCAACTGAATGGATCAATATCAGAATGGTAGGGGGGTTCAAGTGAGGTCCCATAGAGGCCTGTTCTAAGCTTGGTGATGTTTAATTTTTTTAATGACTTGGATACAGAAATGGAGAGCTTCCTGGTCAAGTCTGCAGTTGCCACAATACAGTTCTAGGAATGGTTACAAATACTTTGGAGTTTAGAGTAGAATGTAAAAGGATCTGGACAGATTGGAGAACTGGCCACTAGACAACAAAATACAGTTCAGCAAGGGACACATGAAAGGTGCATCATTTGAGAGGAAAGAGAATTTGTGCACAGATACAGAATTAAAATTGGCTTGGTGGCAGTATTACTGAGAAGGGCCTAGGGGTTTTGATCCTGAAGTGGGAGCAGTGCCTGACTGGGGAGAACTGACCTCAACTCCTAAGCATTAGCAGGTTTTACTTATCTTTAAGCAACAATTCAGACATCAGTCATTTGTGTTTTGGCTCTGGTACCCTTTATACACTACACTTATTTGAAATGAACTTTAGGGTTATTTACCATAAGATTTTCACTCCAAACAATAGTATGTGAGGGGAAGTCTTGATTTAAATATACGTGCAAATTCATTCCATATATGGCTCTGCTGACTTGGATTTGGATTTAAAGTTTTATCTAGTGAAATTTGAATATAGGGCTTCCAAGGTGAAAACGTTATATATACATTCATCTCTGTTCCTGCAAGACCTCCTAACCACCTGCCCTACTGCTGCTGCTTTCCCTATGGCAGCAGTGGAGGGTATGAATTTTAGATGACCCACCAATAATTAAATCCTATAGATGGAAAATTATACATTTATTAGAAATTATACAAATTTATAATTTTCCATGTGTAGAATCTAAATATTGGGTGGTCTTCTTGAATCTGAAGTCATCTTGGATTCAGGTAAATACAGTATTTACTCCTGGCATGAGTAATTTTTTTGATATGCCAACTTTTGAATCCTACCATAACTGGTAAACATGTGTTCTATAAACGTATAATGTGCATTATGCTCCATGCAGCTACTTCAGCTTGTATAGAACAGGCCTTCATCTAGGCCTGTCTAGCCTAGGTTTGAAATACTGCTCAGATGCACTTAAATTGCAACATGGTTGTCCCCTAACCAAGTTGCAAGTCTAATTTGTGAATAGGTTCCTTGACCCAGTTGTATTTTTGGCATGCACAGCATCTTAACAGTTTCTTTATTTTCAGTAGGCTTTTATGTCTAATGACTCTCCTTTTCTTTTTAAAATTTCTATAGTGTATTGTATTATAATTCTTGTATTCCTGTTGTGGTTAAGTGACTGGTGTAAATATATCCATTTCATCTGATAGAACCACCTTGCTGGATGAAGTCAGACAAACGTTCTGACCAACTTGGAGAACTTGCCTCATTTGCTTCAGTTTAAGAGAACTCAACCTAAGCAGAACAAACAGTGGCCTAGCAGCATGGCTGGATGCTGGCGGCGCAGGGGCAGCGATGTCTTCCGGGTGCTGCCATACTGCCAGCTTGATCATGGTTGTGTGGCTGCTGGCAGCAGTTGTTTTTTCCCAGGCACCCTCCCAAGTTGGCACCCAGGGGCTTACCCTGGTCACCCCTCCCTAGTTACACCACTGAAAACAAAACTATGGTTTATTAAAGAAAATTTCTCTTAAGTGAAGAAACTTTTGCAGTGGCTTGAAGAAGCTCCTTTGTTTCTTTGTTGCTTGTCTTTGGCTTAAATAGTTTTGCCTCTCTAGTTTATACTCCTCCCCAGTATTCAAACCAAGCAGTTATTACTCCCACCAACCACTGTTTTGCTAAACTAAAAAATGCCAGTTACTTCTACCCTCCACTCGTCTGACAGGGTCTTCGTTCTCCTGATTGTCCTAGGGCATTTCTCTGCAGCTTCTCCAGTTAAATTTATCTTTCTCAAACATGAGTGACCAGAAATGTACAGAATATTCCAGACACAGTGTCTTGTACAATTGCATGAATGCTTTCCTATCTCTACTGAAAATACCTTGTCTGATATACCCTAAGGTTGCATTTGCCTCTTTCACAGCTGCACCAGACTGGTGGCTCTCAGTCATCCTCTGGTCATCAGGTCTTTATCCTCTTCAGTCATTCTTAACTGATGAGCTCCCACATTATAGCAGAAAGTCATGGTATACGCAAGTGTAATCTCATTTCTGTTATTCTAGTCCTTTAGGTTATTTTCTAATTCTTCTTGATGATGCATCCCAGCTTTGCAAGGGAGCAGCTTTGAAGGTCATTAATGAAAATATGAAATAAGATGGTTTCATGGAGAACTCCACTATATCTTCCCTCTAGCCTGGTGCTCCCCCTTTAAATAGTTTTGTCATTTCCCTTTTAGCTGGTTTCCTTCTTAGTTCTTCCACTGAACTTCATCCTAATGGGGAGTTCACTTCACACAGTCCACCTTATAACCATATGCCTGCAGTGCATTGGGATTGCACTCAGTCTTTCCACATCCAACAGAAACAAAGTTCCTTGAGGTCCTCCTTTGCCTTTGCCCTCTGATTAGGGACACAGCTCCGTTTATGGGCCCTTGTGTTGGTGTCATGGATTTTGTGCCGTCTCCCCTTCAGCCACTGTCAGAAAGCTCCTTTCACCACCTTGTGATAGGACTGCCCTCTGTAGAAGAGCAGCGGTGCTAAAGCCCCACACCACAAGCTTGTTCCTAAGGCAGTTCTGGACTTTTGACAGAACCAATCACATACTTTTCCAGTCTTTGTCCTGAAACCACATTTTAAAGCCAGGAGAGGACATTCAGCATGCCCTGGATGTATCCAGTGGTTTGGGGTAATTGCCTTAAAAGGACTGAGCCAAGCCATCTTTCTGAAGGACTCCTGTGGTGGATCGTGCAGTAAATTGCCAGTTTTAGTCATCTGGTTGGCAAGTCTGTCTCGCTGAATGTGAAGAAATGACCCTCCAAAATATAGGTTTCCTCTGTTGGTTTCAGTGGACTTAATGTTTCTGAGATCTGCAGGAGTCATAATGTGCTGGCTTTTTTGAAACATTATACCTTACTTGGGACAGATGCCAAATTAAGGAGAGCAGTATTTCCACCTGTGTTTGGTTCAGCTAATACCCTTCCCTCCTACCATGTAGGGAAGATACTTACTTATCTTACAGGAACTGTAGTTCTCTGAGATGCTGTGACAGCCTCTTGTCCTCACTGCTCAGTCTTCAGTGACTTCATGCTTTGGACTGTGAGAGAACTGCGGAAGGGTCACAGCCCGCCTGTCCTCCTCGTTACGATCTCTCATGGGAGCCTGAGGAGGCAGAGGGTCCAGCCATGACCCTGAGGGACTTAAATGTTCTGGTACCTTCTGCATGCAGCTAAAGCATACCTGAGGTGGGATCCACATCAGGATATCTAATGGTTAGAAATTAGACCTAACAAATGATTTAAAGAAGTTTTTGCCTAGCTAATTAACTATGTGTCACTATCACCCCATTAGCGGAACTAGCTCAGGATACATCCTACTACTGTAATTGAGGTGGGAATAGTGACCTTTGTGAAATATACTCACTACCCATACCAGGTGAAGTGCATTATCCAGACATTTTAAGACCAACGAGCAGCAGCAGCAGCATGTGCTCAGAACCTGAACTGTATAGAGTTTAGAAGTCAGATTTGATCTGATTTGAATTTATAGGGGTGGAGTTCTGTGGAACTCGGTCATTTCTTATATTGTAATAAAGTGAATTTCAATGGAATTAAATCAGAATGAAATCAAAGTACATCAAAATAGCAGTTGTTGCTTTATTACAGATTTGCAATATTACAAAGATATTCTGATAATATATTAAAACCCTACTTTCATTTATATACAACACATGCTACATCAAATGTCAGTTTAATGCATATCGTACATTTTGTAAAGAAACAATGAGGTAATAAGAGGGAAAGGCATACACACACACATACATACTCAGTGAAAATCTCACAGGCTTATTATCAAGCACATTGAACTGTTTTATCATACATTCTGTCACTAAATGTTATGGTTTTCATGGTAGTTTCTAATTTGCAACGTGTGCTATAATAATCAACTCTAGAAACCTACCTCAGCAGAATACTAAAATTTCCAAGTCGGTCACTTATAAATATAGGTGAATAATTTTGTGCAATACATTGGCAAACAGTATACTTGGTAGGTATTGTAAAATATGGCAAATATAATTGTTCTTGGTTACAAATAGTTACTTTCTAGAATTTTCATCTAGTAGTTAGGGACACTAAATAGGTGCTGTATCAATATCTGCCATTTGCCTGCAAAGTTGGATAGCCACTTTAGTTTGTGTCCAGCCATTTTCTGATTGTAGTGGCTACACAACAGGTAATGAATTAAATGACTCAAATTTAATTTAAAAAATATAGGGCACCTATACATGTGCAGCGAGGCTGCTCCAACACACTGTATCAGTGTCCCCATGCTGAAAAATGGTGGCTAGGGCACTTTAACTAAAGCTCATTCAATGAAGCACCCCCAGCACCATTTTTCAGCATGGTGGGACTGCTATGCATGATGCTTCAGACACTTTATTTAGAGCAGCTCTTGGAACCGCTCTAATTAAAGCGCCCCCTCTCCCCAAAATATGTCTATAAACACCCAGAGGCTCTTGTTTTATGTGACACAAAGTTATTAGTGTTGGCTGAGAGGTGCAACAGCCATTACAAATCCAGTTACCTTTCCAAATACATGTACAGTCGGCAGTTCTGTTTAGCAACACTGATTTCCCTTCCTTGAATGAAAGGTCAGTCTTGAGTGAGTGTAGCAGACTGCCTTGATCTGTAGTAACTATTTGGGTGCCTGCTCACAAACTGAAATCGCTATTGCTCCCTTTATTCATGACAACAGTTAACAAAGATTAAATTAGGAATACTCACACTAATGTTCTACAGTACATGTACCAGCTATCTAGTTTCAAGGGATGCAGTTTCCCGTGTCAAATGATTCCTATCAATAATAATAAAAACTCTTGCTGTACATTTCGTAGTATCTCCTGCATTTGAGAATATTTATACATAATATAACATACAAAAATATTTAGTTATTGTGGCAGTATTTTAATCATCAAAACTTAATTTACAGGAAATAAAAAAAAACAAAGGTTATCTACAGTCCATCTCAACTGCCAATTCTAAAAGCAAGAACCTAAATTAATTTTGTCACAAAGAGAGGTGTTCTGCAAGTTCTGTAGTGTTTTGCTGGAATGATTCTTGAAAATGCAATATACAAGTCCTCAAACTGTATCAGTAAATATACAATATCTTACATTCCTTGCAGTTGAAAAGATGTACAGGAAACCCTCACTATTTGTGAGTTTGGCATTCGCAGTTTCAAATATTTGTGAATGCCAAACCCGCTTCTTAAATACACTTAAAGGAGCTCCTTGGGAGCTCTGCACTTGCCGCCGTCACCAGAGGAGCCGTGCCCTTCCAGCCGCCGGTGGCACTGAGTTCATGAACACAGACGGTGTTCATGAACGCAGTGCCTTGTTCGTGGATTTCACCATTCACAGGGGATACGAGAACGTATCCCCCGCAAATGGCGAGGGTTGCCTGTATTCCAGCTAGCACATGCAGCTACTGCTGATATTTCATTGTTCTGTCTTAAAGGGCAAGTTAGGAGAAGGAAAAACAAATCAGTGGAATGTGTTGGGGTTAGGTCTGATCATCATAACAACTTTTTTTAGTGAGTATGATCCCCCCCGGAACTCAGCCCAGTAAACACCATCTTGGTATCGACTGCGGTAATGTCCTCCCCGGTACCAGACTCCATTAAGATTTGAGTGAGCACAGGCATTGTACCACCATCCTCCTTTCTGGTAATGAGCACAGTTACCTGTGGGGAGAGACTGCTGGTCAGTACAAGGATAAGCACAGTCTTGCAGCTGCAACAAACAAACTAGCTAAACTTTAATAAAACAGACTTCTGGTCTACACATTTTTAAATATATTAAATGTTTACATTTAGTTATTTTATGTAGTGAAAGGCAAAGCAGATGAAGCCTTCCTCTTATAAGCTTCTATTCTGCATCTGAATCCCTGCAAGTACAGGTCAACTCGTCTTTCTGTTTGGTCATGCTGTCAATGTTCATGAAAGTCATTAAATTATACATAAGATTTTAACTATTACGGGATTTTATGAGCTGCCATCTTTCTTTAGCACTTCTCACCTGTGTATACATCATGGTCTCTGTCCAGAGTGGTGAACTGCTTCCCATTGTGCCAAGTGAAAGAATCGCCTGCATTGCCATTGTAACGGCCCAGTCTCAGCTTGTAATATTCACTTTCTGGCTCCAGTCGGAAACTGGCATATTCAGCAAATACTTTTCGACCAGACCAGTCTTCCATTGTTATAAGCAGTTTATAGTTGCCTTGGTTTGTTAGCCAATAAATATTTTCCAAACCCAGCCAGTACTCTCCATCTATGTTACCGAATCCTTGCTGTGAAGAAATAGACAAATGGATTACTATTATATGTGTGTTTTAAGTGTAAACCTCAATGTAGCCTTTGCTATAGAATCATTGTAGCATCCCCATAATGGCTTTGTGGACCACATCTGAAAGAGTAAGCCTAGTTCCAAGTCTCCTTCTCACAACTTCACCCATGTGTTCCTGTAGTTGAAGCTGCTACAAACTTCTCAAGGTGCAAGAGACCGTGCAGTGAGTAATCCTGGAATTACCTGACCCAGCAGTCTCTTACTGCTCCCTCAAAGTAATTGTTTGGAGAATGCTTTAATAACACAAGTGTGTATATCCCTTATAAAAAGTACCTGTTTCACTAGTTGTTGAAGTCTAACCCTTTTTTCCCACCCCTGCTAAGCTAATGGCCTGGCTCTACAGTTCCTTTTCAAGTCACTGTTTTCAAGAAGGTTTTTGTGAAGAGGAAATAATTAGTCTTGCATGTCCTAACCTTGTACGTCTCCCAGTTCCTGAAAAAGTTAACTGATCCATCGAGCCGCCTCTGAATGACTGTCCAACCACCGGGGTCATGCCGTTGGTCACACCACACCTGCATAAGTCGGTTTGTATTTTCAGGTTTCACCAGATAGATGGAGCTGGTGTCATGGCCATCTTCCAAAGCTTGCAGACAGTCTCTCCATGGTCCTGTTCCAGAACAAACACTGCAGTCACAAAGTAATGGAACATCTCTTCTTAAGCCCTTTTACTCATTCACTGACAAAGGAAGTTATGTATGGTTTTTATAGGATGCATTAATGTATCAGTCTTGGGTGCTTTCAGGTGATATAAGACATGAAATTAGAACAGTTGCATCCATCCCTGTAAGATACGTAGTTACAAACATGTGGGTTATTTATTCTGATGCACTCAGAGGGCACTTAGCATGAGTTAACAAGATTTGACATACAGGTGCTTGCATTTAAAGTGCCCTTCACGTAGTCTAAGTGTAACATATAACTTCACCCTTAGAGTGACAGAGGAGCCAGGTAAAACCACTGGAAATCACAGTTGACTCTTTGCTTATGGGAAAGATCCTTCTTATTGCACCCAGGGTCAGGGAGGCTTAACCCCCTTAAACGCACAGTGTTTGAAATATCCACTAAAATTCTTTCTGTTTTAGCAAACTCATGCTCTGAAATGGAACATGCAAGGCATAGCTGGGGTTTACTGTTTTGTGATTTATAAACCAAAAAGCGAACTCTGCCTCTGGGAAGGTAAAACAAAAGTCCCAATAAGCGTCTATACCAAGCCACGTTTATCGAGGCTGATTTAATTTGGAAACATTGGAGTAAATAAACTCGAAGTACTGGGTACTCTCCACCTTAGGCTGTCCCAGCTCTGATCATCCAAGAGAAGACGCGTTCTGATGCTCTCCTGTAGAGAGACCCTGCTCTGTTACAAATTTGATCCAAAGGCCCTCCTGTCTGCCACTCCAGCTTGGGAAGCAGGAAGTCTTATACCTATTTCCCTGTAGTTTATTAGCTTGGCCCTTGCTAGCATCCAGCCTTTAATAACCAAAGATTCATAACAGGTATAGTGGGCTGTACACACATGCACCCCAAGGCCTCATCAAAGCTAAGATCTCTGAAAACATCTGGAGTGGCACAGGAGCACACATGTCCGTGCTCCCATGTCAGCTGGCTGCATCTGGGGTTTTTAAATGCGACTTTCAGAATGGGAAGAGAAATGAAACTGGGACTTGCATACAGGGTAAAAACCTCTCCTGTACTTTTAAATTAACTTTAAAAGTCCATAAAAACATGAGAGTAATCACAGCATAACTATATGTGGAACATATAAAAGAGACTAGAAGTTAAAGCAGGAAAAACTACAGCAGGAAAAAAATAACCTGTGTGGAAAAGTTTTCCTATAATATAGTGCTTGATGCAGGATATGAGCTCAAGTCAAAGAAAACGCTTTGAGTGATTAAAAAGTGCCTACCTACTATATATTAGAGTGCTATATTTTGTTGATATTCTTACAAAACTCCTTTGTAAGTTAGCCCATGAAAACAGGCAAGTGTGTTGCAAAAGGCATATCACAAGCATTCCTGAATTCGGGACCCACTCACTCAGGGCATAGATTGTAGGTGGAAATACTAGATAAACTGCTTTGTTCTGTTGCCAGTCTTACCACATCAGCTGACACAAGAAAATGGTCAAGCTGTTATCAGTGCTCAAGTAGTCCAGATGGGTTTTAAGGTACTGAAGAATTACTGAAGTACAGTGTTGATCATATTTTGTAGAGAAAACAGACCTAAGTTTCCACAAACAGATACTCTTTTCCTTTAGAAAACAAAATGGTAAAGTTGACTTTGGCTTCTATTCTGGATTATGGGTTTCCATCTGAGCAGCTGCCAAAAATAACATTGGCATGGCTATTAACAATAGAATCAGCAACACAATGCCAACATAGGCATTTAGCACAGTCAACCTGACATCTGAAGGCAAGCTAAAACGATGGTTTAAATATGTAGCATGATACACTTGGGAGGGGGAAGTTAGATGGATAAATAAACTGATTTAAGTCTCTGTTATCATAGAAATTACAGATAAAGCCAACCCATTTGCTGGGAGTCAATACAGGATTACGTCTTGCGTTTCGTGGAGCCTGTAAGGCATCAATTTCTGCAGAGTTGAGCCTTTTGAAAAGACTTCAATCAGTTCAAAGAAAATTTTTCTAATATGAAAACACTCGGCTTCTATGTGAAAAAAAAATGTGAAGCCTGTTGATAAAAAAAAAAAAAAAAATCTGACTCTGCTAGGTATTCTTAAGTATGTTTAGCCTGGGCTGTCCTGTGTGCTTGTGATCTGGCTTGTAATTTTGGTCAGTTTACAAAAGCATGAACTGCCTGTACTAGCCAGGCACCCAAGAAACCAACTCTCGTTTTGTGTTGTCTTAAGTAATGTGGAGAGGGGCTCTGCTCCACACTTCAGACTCAGAGAAACACTGTCATTACCGATTTGCTGGAAGCACAGAGCTGTGGGCTGGCATGGAATGTATTGTCTCAATATCTGTCTTCAAAGGATTGGATCTCTTTCAAAAAGGCCTTATTTATTGTTCATGTTGGGAGCCTGAGCTGTAATGCACAGCTTTCTTCCATCTTTTAATAGTTTTATGAAATAGTGATAGAGGATTTACTAGACTTCCTTTTCACATTCTTGTACAGTTCAGTAACAAAATAAGGGTTTTATCCAAAGTGAGCATATTTTTAATTAATTTGTTTGGAGAAGGGGACTGACTGTGTTCTCACAGTTACATCTCTGCAGTCACTGAAAACTTCTGCTAAATAGTGTCTAAAAATTAATGCTGGAAATCATTGCAAGTACTGATATATTGACAGGTGTTGTTTTACATGATGCTCAGTAGGTGAACATGGAGTGGGGTCTGTGTGGTAAGTGAAGGTACCAGTCACAACCGAAACGTACTGTGGCGTTAGCAAAGGACTTTAACAAATTCACACGAGCAGGAGCGGGGAGGAAGGTTTGCTTGCACACTTTCATTTGGGAAGGTCTGAAGCTTTTACTGAGCATTACCATTTTTACCCAACGGACAGAGTAAATAGTACTACTTGTTTTGGACCCCCAAAGACTTTGCTACCTGTTACGTTTCTCTGCCTCTTAGAATGGGTTTATTCCTTCAGCTGATTCGTTGTTTGTAATGCTTAGTCTGCAGCACTGTGGATTCATGGTGTGCCCATGGGAAGAGCTCCTCTGCCAATTTATGTAAGCACCTTATCGCTTTGGCCAGAAGTAAAATGAGAGAATTGAAATAGTCATGTTTTTATATAGGTGAACAGGAAAGTAAAATGGTAAATAAAATAATATGGCAGCATTTGGCTTAGTGCTTCCAGGGTTGGTCCTCACTGGTTTACAGAGAGTTGTCTCATTCTGTATATAACTTCACGTTGATGTACATTTGTTGCATATCCAGTGGGTTGAGAAGTAGTTTTATCCAACTGCTGTCATTTATGATTGACAATGAAAAGGAAGGAAGCGTAGATGAAAATTAAGGAGAAAATCAGTCGTGCTATTTTATGTTTATAATTACTAGTCGCTCTCCTCAGAACCAAAGCAGAATAACAAAACTATTACATTTTATTTTCATGAAGAACCAGATGGCAAAAGTGTCAGGGCAGTTTACATATACTGCTTTACGGTAAAATATGACCATTCTGGCAAATATGTGAACCAAAGCATGTGACCCTAATTTGTGCAGTATAAAATTCATGTAACTCAAATTATTGAACTCCAAAGATACTTGTACAGTTTTACAGCAACATCTACAAATGTTCTTTTTTCTAGAAGTGGCTTATTGTATGATGGAGCTAACCAGTTTTTTTTCAACATATCTACATAACATTTTTACAGTGCATTCTGCTAGTGCTGTTCGTTATACAGCCATCACTTTTCATTCCCCTAAAATATGATGGGAGCTAAAAACAGACTATGATGTATCTATTGAAATATAACCCAAACCTGTCCTGGTAAATTTGATATAGTACCCAAGTCAAGTCTATTTATATCTTTTTTTAATTTTGGCACATTCTTTGTACATAGAAGCCATGTTTTAGCCTTTATGAATGTGGGGGGGGGGAAATACCCAGGTTGCATTTTTGGTCTCATGTTGGCATAATGTATACATGTCTGTAGAATTATACCATTATTTTCAAATACTATTAGCGGAATGTTTTAAAAGAGTATCAGAGTAGTACTTTTATTATGCACTTGTATTGTGGCAACATATGGGGGGGCCTCAGTTACTAACTGAAAAAACTTGTCACCAAAAGTCAGTCCCCATCCCAACAGTCTTGTAATCTAAACAATATTTGCACTTGCATCTATTTTCACACAGATAAGCATAATCAAAATCAATGATATAAAACATAATGCAGATAGAATCAAGAGATGATTGGAGTAAAGTTGATACAGCTGCCTGTCAATCACAATATTGTCACATGGAGCAAAGGAGAGAGGGTTTTTTTATGTATATGGTCTGAACAGTCTTGCTTGCTTGTAGATTGTAGAAGCTGGACATTTTTATGAAGGATGAAAGGTGCTATGCCAAATGGAATGATGCTGAATATGAATTGTTCTTATAATTCAAATAGATTTTGAGCTATAGACTTTTTAGTATAAAATGGCCAGTATAAAATGGTGTTGTTACATTTTAGTGTGTGCTTGCTTACCATGAACTTCTCAAATTTCTGGAAAATCATAGTTTGATTAGAGACAGAGTTTAGTCAGTGTTTACTATTTTGGCAATGTTGGAAAGTTATGCTACTTTTCTGAAATGGCATGCACGAAGCTATGATTTTGCTCGGTCATTTGGTAAGAAATTTACTATCCAAAAGCCAGGAGGTTTAAGATCTGAAAGAAAATATTTGGATTTATTTAAGTAAACTTTTTTCTTAAAAAAAACCAAACCAAAAAATAAAGGGAACCTAGAGTAGTAGACTATCATACAGCCAACGTGGACTGTTTGATATGACCTTACCTAGAGTGTAAACATGCCTTACAAAGTAACATTGACATTAAATTAGACGCTTACATCACATTAGTTAACTATTTTTGAAAAAGTGCAATCGTACTAAAAATTAATTTATCCTACTACAATATAATAAGTGAATATGATGATGAGCTATT